CAATTTTATAACCATTTTTAGTATTGCATTTTGAAATGTCGTTCATAAAATCAAAAAACCTATATTCATCGTAAAGAATCGGTTTCATGGTCAAGCGCAAGACTTTTCGATCGCATCCCATATATAAAGTGCAATTCTGAATTGTACCAGGTGGATAAAATGGTTGCATATTGTTAAATATTCTATTAATATTAACTCTATGAAATATTAAGTAAATCTCTTCAAACTACTAGAGACATTTATTTATCCTATATAAGAACTAGAGTTCCCTAAAAGTATTGTACTGTTGAACCAAGAGGTATAATAGTTTGAATCTATGTAAGTTTGGCACCCAAACTTGCTAGATATAAAATAGATACAAATAACTGCAATTTATCTGGCAATTAAGTTATAGCATAGGATTTATTTTTACAGGTAAATTCATTTATCTGTAAAAATTAGTTTATCTGCAAGTTTTAAATTAATGTCAAAAATTTTGTTCTCAAATAAGACGAGAATGCCTCCGGCTGGTTCTAGTTTGATCTCCTATCTACTACCCACTATGTTATTACAAAGTTTTTCTGGATTCAAAACTAAAAATACAACCAACTAACTAACTAACTTAAGTTGAGAACATTAGCTATTCCTGACCTCTAGTTCTTTAATATCTGAATTCATTATATGTGTATTCATATATATATGTAAGAAAATGCTGTGTTATAAAAAGCAAATAAATTAATATATTAATTGTATAATAAATATAAAAATATGTAATAATTAATCAAATTTTTTTAATCGTTAATAAATTCTTTCAAGTTCAAAAAATAAATTAAATTTGTCAAGAGCAAATTAATTAAAAATAATTAATTGGTTAATCTCATATCGTCTACATAAAAAGTTGCTTTCGCAGATAATATATAACTCATTAGAAGATTAGTAGTTACTATGAAATACTTATTCCGGGAGTCATATTGAAAAAATTATAAAATAAAGTTCATTTCAACAATATTTTCATGCAGCTATAAAAACACCCTATATATAGATTCAAAAACAGATTGATTCGGTAATATAATAGAAGACATTGCAATAATAGGCAGGAAACCAAACTCTTTATACAATGATATCTTGAATTACCACTCTTTGACTGAAAAAGTGTTTGAACCTATCATATATATGAACACATGTATATGTATATAGGGTTAAAAATTCAACTTTAGTATTATAATAACTTTAGAAAGGATATCTATTATAATTTTGTATTAAAAAGAGATCTCATAAAACTTGAAAATTAAAAAAACTATAATTAGTTTAATCGTAAGATACGAGAGTATACTATACTAATCGGAAAATTATATAAAAAATATCAGATCCGTCTTGTCTTGAACATGAATTATATACAGTACAAATAATTTAATATTAAGGATCGATTTCACAATTGTGATTTGAGTCTTAATGCCGACTTAAGTCATATACAAATTGTTATTTTTGTAATAGTCCGCAAGAATCTGTTTGTGTAGTTCCTTTTGGGAGTTTTGAACGGCACTTAGCCGTCGAATTTGATGAATGACTCCGTGCGTTCATGTTTAAGTCATCAACTTCATACTTGAGTATTTTTTAAGACTTAAATCAGAACTATTAAATCGTCCATAAGTATAATAGATGAGGTCACATAACAAAAAACTATTACACATACGTTGAACTTACCATAGGACAGGTTAAAACGAGAATATAATGTGAATATAAGGAGAATATAATGTGAATATAAGGAGAATACAATATGAATACAATGCGAATACAATGTGCATGAATACAATGTGAACACAATGAAAATAAATATAATATGTTTAAATAAGCCAGATCAGGCGATCAATTTTAATTTACTATTAAAGTTATAGTAAATTATAGGCGCGGTGAATCGATACTATTAATGTAGATTTACAGGAAGTATAAATAGTATCACTTAAATGCAAGACATATATAAATTCTCGTATAACCCAATCGTAAGTATTCATATTGTACAAACTTTGGTACCAATTTTTTGCAAAATTCGTAATTCATCTAAACAATTTTTCTTTAATAAAAACATAATCTAGTTTTGGTTGGAGATATTATATTTTATTAGTTGAGTACAAAAACAATCACGACTAAACTAAATACAACGAAAAAAACACTATCAAATAAATTGAAGTATTTTTATCTTTCTTATCTGTATGCTTGTTATGTACGAGTAGTTATACTTTCTCTTATAAACCATAGGTAATCAAGAGTAATTACTATTCCACAAAATCCCCATATGATGCACTTAACGTTAAATACAGAAAAGATAAATATTTTAGGGTAAAATACTCTTCTTGTTATCAGCTATTAAATAATTAACAGTAATTGTTTATTTATATCTCTGAAGGTTATGCGTACCTGGAAATAATCTTATGGAGCACAAGTACATGTTAGTTAATATTTTACTATAGCGAATTTTAAATAAATGTAAGCAGTATTAACTTATTTGTTATAATTAATAATTAGTTGATAAATCTTCCAAGAAAATTTATGACTATGTCTAAAACTGTAACTAGTGGCCATCGCTCGAACTATTAAAGTAGTAATTAAAAACCCAGTTTGACGTTCGCCTGTCATTTGATGATCGATGGCATTGTATATATAAGTTTTCCGGAAAATATATCTACTAAATTTTATTGTAGTATGTGTAATAATAGATGTCAACTTTAGCAGTAAAATTGGTTGACATAAATTTATTTAAAAGGACTTATATATCCAATTATATTATCAGCGCACCAAATAGTTGTAGTATATAAGGTTATCAAAAACCCACATTACGATTTTAAATGTGAATATCTCCAGTTTTTCAAATCATATTTTACAATACCATATATAGCATATATTTTATTATATATTACACGTTAATATTACACGATAATAATAGATATTTATAGCAAAGGATTGAAATTTAATTATTAGAATAAATTACATTCAATTTCATCCATATTTCCGTTATTAAAATACAATATTATTTATAAACACTATTCTCTTTTATTAGACCCCACAACCACATTTCCTAATATGTTGTTATAATTTTAAACTGTCTGTGCTATCGAAACGTTAGCTTAGTTTCGTGTTGTCCCCGTTGAAACTTTGGCGGGAGTGTGAGCTTTAAGATGATGAATAACGACGGGACAAAGATTAGACTATTTCGGAAATTATGCTTACACATAACACATTATATTTTTCATATTTTATTTTTAATTGCAGCATGATTCATTCAATTACTAAACCAAAAATTAAGCTAGAAATGCTTAATGCTTTGATAGATGATAATATTATTAATATCATTCTTTTCTTGTATTGTCATCAAAAATTTTGTATACATACATACATATTTGTATACATACATACGGATGTATATGAAGAATAAGCCATTTGGAAACTCTATTAATTCATTCCTCTTGCAAACAGCAAACACATTGCAAAAAGATACTTAATAGGCCTGTCCTAGCTCAATTAATATCAGGATATAGCCATACGCTATACAACAGTTAGTTGTCAAGCATAAATGCTTTCAGTCCCAATGCACACACTAACTTAAGCCAATCGATATTTCGGCTCATCTCATTGAAGTAAATAGGTTTCTCCGCCTTAATCTTGGTGAACTTCAATTTAAAACTCACTCATCCTCAATCCTATCTTATTTCTAAACAATCCCTTACACTACCATCACTACCCCACGGAAGTGTCTAGAAAATTTTTTGCCTTGATCCTGATCCTGGTTGACTTTTATTTAAGTTCCACTTATTCCCAATTCATATTTACCCCTATTTACAGAAGTTTGTAGTCCCTTTTATATTATCTACTTTATAAATCTCTACGGGAAATCTATCTATTATAGATCTATAGATCAACAATAACATTAATTCGGTAATTTCAAGATATAATAACACAACAACATAAAGTTGATGCTTTTGAGATGTTTTTAGTTGGAGGTCAGAAAAAAACCCTACTATTAACACACAATACAATGTGAGCATACAATAAAAATAAATGAAATACAATAAAAAATAGTGCTAACACTAATATTGCTGCACATCATATATGAATTCATATATATACATATATATATATATATATATATATATTGAATCCTTTAACTTCTAGAAGAAGCATAGGGCCATTCTTTAACTTCTAGAAGGAGCATAGGGCCATTCTTTAACTCCTAGGAGTAGCATATATAAGTTAATACCATTCGATAATTCTAATTGGGATTTACAGAAAAATAGTATACGAAACCATTCTCTCAGGCAAAATACTTGCCTCAAACAATTCTAATTAGAATTTGCGGAAGGATTCCAAACTAGCACAACTATGTGCTCATATATGCTCACTGCTCGAGTTTAAGATATTTAGGTATATCTAATTGGAACTCGTGTAACACAACACATGGTAGAAAGTAATTGAAGCTCTTTATGCGTACCATGCAGAATATGTTTCATTTATTTGATGTTGAAATGTTGAAGTACATATTGGTAGAAAATCCGTGTAAGTTTCTTATAAGATTCTCTTTTATGCTAAGTGGTCATCACACACACACACACTCATGAAATCGAAAGTCAAGGCAGTTGTTAATATTGCCGCCCTACATTTCTGCAGCACGAGTCATTTATATATTTGTAATTCTATATATTATAGAATAGAGTATTTGATAAAAATTTAATTATTTAATTATTTATTTTGCTGAAATTCAATTTGCATTGAGTGCAAAAAATGGCAACAAGTTTGAATGACAACATTTAATGGCAATGCACGATTGAAACCAACGCAAACACACACATCCACACAAACACAAATGTATGAATATCCCAGCCCAGCTCCAGTTTGTATGGCTGGCTATCTATGCGTGTCCTAAACTACAATTTCTAGAACTTTTATAGCTGAAATTTTGTATAGAATTACTCTCTTATATACTATATACATATACTATATTTACTAATTAATAAAAATATTTTTCTTACTTTAGTGTATATATTATAATTTCTGCCGAAATTTAAAAACAATATTTGTAGCAACAAATAAATAATTATAACAAAAATTACCAAAAAAAAAAAACAAAAAAAAACAAACACACGCGGCTATAATTTTAAGTACACGAATATTTTAATTTCTTTTAAAATTTATTATTATTCAAAATTTTTATTTCTTATATCTTCCAGCAGATGATGGAAGATAGGTTAGGATGCCGCTACGCGCTTACTGTTCTCTCGCACGTTTATTTTACAAATCGACCGAAAGACTGAATTTTGTTTTGGCTTCACTTTTCTTTTTATTTACTCGTAACTCGTTACTTTTATTTCGACTTCAGTAACTTAATTTATATTATTATTAATTATTATTTTTTTTATTTAATTAAAAACTATTAAACACATATTATTTTAACAGCCTGCTTGCTTACAAAATTACGTTAAAATTAAAACATCGAATTAATCACTAAATAGATTTATTACATTTACTTCTGATACGCGTTACTGCCGAGCTCACGATAAAAAAAACCACCACAAACTTCAATGTATCTTTGACAACTGAACGCTTTATGAGAAACGAGCGCAGCAAACGCCTTCTATTAAATGTTTGAATGGCAACAGAACACGGCAGCGAATACAGCAAACCCAGCAGTAAAGTAAATAAAACAAAAACGAAAACAAAAACAAAAACAAAAACACACTGCTACCCGGCAAAAAACTAACATCATTTTAAGTAAGACGACGATTGACTGCAGACAACGTTGACGTTGGTTTAACAGAAGCATTGCAAAGCAGAGCGGCGCAGCACCACAGCACCACGGCAAGCAACAGTGTGGAAGAATAGAATTGACATACACATATCTATGTGCATACAAACCCATACAATATAAGCATATTCAAAATTTTAAGCAAAACAATCCTAAAAAGCAATATGGAACTGACTATAATGCAAAAACAAAAACATAAATTGTAATGTAAATGAAAATGGAAAAACAACAAAACTGGAGAGTAATTTAACATTGTATACACAAAAAAAAAACCAGCACATCACCGGCAAAATTTAGAGTTGCCAACAGCAAAATATTTAAGTGAAATGAGTCATAAAGTCATATATGCAAATATACATACATATATGTATATATATAAATGTTGAATGTTGTTGATATTTAGTAATGTAACTGACCATGTTTAATGAATAATACATATACATGTAATTTAATGTATATATATACATATATATACATACATATATATATACATGTATATATATATATACATACATATATACATATGTATATATACATATAATTATTTTTCTATAATATTATATATGTAATCATATAGATATGATCAGTTAGGTAACTATATATACATATAAGCATATTTATATATATTATATGTATATAACATAAGAAAAATCTTACAAACTGTTTATACATGTCATTAAAATTAGCTATTTATTACATAACTAACTAATTGGTCAAATAGTTTATTAGAATATAAAATATATATAAAATGTAGATATATATGTATATATATAATATTGAACACTAATCACTAATTGAACATTAATCATATACAACAATATGAACTTAATTAATACTTCTTTATAGTAATTAGAAAACAAATGAAAATATAGACTAGCTTAGATAAATTTAAAAACTCAAATACTAAGCCTCTTATATACATATTTCACCCCGTGATTACTGGATTACTTCTCGAATCGTTCTTAAGAAACGATTTTAGTGAATTCAAGTCGCATTCTGACTTTCGAAGCTGGTGGAAAGCAAAAAAAAAAGAAGAAAAAAATTGGAATATATAGGAAACAAAAAAATATATATTACGTTTCAACTCAACAGTTGAAGCGTTAACTTACTTTTTATTCCAAAATTATTTCAAACAAAATAATGACATACATACACACAGGACCTTTCATCCAAAACTTAATATTTCGATATCTTTTGAAATATATACCACCACTTTGTTTATATATATACCAGCAAGAACATGGGCTCTTCATATAAAAATTTAAATTGCTCCTTCTCTTTAGAGTAACTAGCACAGTATATATATGATATATGTATGTATATGAATATAATTTTCGTTATTACCCAGAAGCAGAGTTAAATATGTTTTTATAAATACAGAGCACATTCCTATAAAACTGTAAAATTCATAAACACTAAACCAAAAACATAGAAATTTCTATGTTTTTGACTAAACTTTTATATTAACATAAATATATCTCGATTACTTATTTATCTTATTTAGAGCTTATTTACTTATTTAGAGCTCTGTTGCTGACATTCTATATATTAGATGTTGTTACTACATGTCTTTAAGAACAATAAAATATTTCTATTAAACTAGAGACTTTGGTTTAATTAATACAAACTTTCTCAAAACATTGTCTTAAATTTAAAAATACTATAGAAAAAGATAACTTATTTTCAATAGAATGTTTCTTATTTATTTACTTAGTTAGACTCTTTACAATATAATATTTTTATTTTTTACTCTTTTATTATTTTACTATAAAGTAGTTTAACTAGAGCTTACGTTTTTACCAGAAATAGCTCTTTATTACCTAGACTAATTTTTTTTTTTTTGAAGGGGATGAAGTGGAATGCTTTATGCACCATCAAACCGACTCTTCTTCTGCGGGATTTCTACTCTCGGGCGCGCTTTCGCATTACTTTAGGGGAAATAGACTATATGGCTATGTCAAACTTTAAAACAGTTCTGAAATCAATATTACTGTATATTAATTAATTATATTTTTGCAATTAATCCTTAAGTCAAATGTTCAAACTGAAATATTAAATATTAAATAATTCACTTAAATATAAATACATAAAGACATACATATATATATATATATTTAAATTTTTCATTCATTTCTATAACTCTGATGAATACTTCTATTAAGCCATACGAAGAGGAAGATATTTATTTCGAAGTGCAGAAAGATAATAACATTGACGATCAGTATTTTGTTATTACTTTTTTGTTTATATTGCCCTCTCTTATCAGTGTTGATCCATGACTCAAAAGTAATCAATAAGATTTTTTTATTTTAATATGACCACCAGGTGTCAAAATTTATTTAAACTTAACACATTACCAGACAATATGGAGCATATTCACTGCGAAAATGTCTTATCTCAGACTTAACGTCTTTTACAAATATGTGTCTGCATAAATGAATAATATTATATGTCCAACCATTTAAACGATTTTTGAAGATTGAAAATATTTTTTCAAAGGCTTTTTAAAAAAATATTTTCATCAGAATAGTTTGCAAAATAAAATTACAATCTTACATATTATTGTAACAATTATTATATACAATTATAAAAATATAAATAAGATATCTAAATAAATTCTAATGAATTTAAACGTATATATATACAAATGTGACCTTACAAATCGTTTAGATGGTATATTTATTATTCTTTTATAGAATAGTTTTGAAATTTAACAATTAAACATAAAAAATATAATTAATTAATTAATTCAATTATTCTACAGCTGGTTTATGATTTCGTTCTAATATATAAATACAGCAAGTAAAATTGTTAATAACAAAACTCCAGCAAAAATATGCGAACAAAAAAAGTCAAGTACGGCTTTGGATCAGTGGTTAAGGTGCGCTGATTCTGAGCTTCACATTTGGCAGGACCCGAGTTCGATTCCTGGTACTTGCAGTCTCAAAAATAATTATTTACGAATAATTAAATACAAGAATTATTTCCAAGACCACTGATGAAGGGTATTTGACAATACTCGAAACAGCTGTATGGTCAGCCAAAAATTCAATTAATTAAAATAATTTAAAAAATAAATTTTTGTTGTTGTTTCACTTCTGTTCGAAAACCTCTTTATTCTTTTATGTAATTACGGTTTTAGTCATTAAGGCCACTAATGAGGAAAATATACCATACAAAGAACTTTCATATAAATGAGCTCATTATAAATAAATCAACTGATTTAAGTTGAAATCAAATTAGTAATTCATAAAAATAAGAAACAAAATATATAAATATACAAATATATTTTAAATCAAATCAGGAACATATTTAAAATTCGTTATGTCGTGTAAATAGGTTGTATGTTTAAGTTGACTCTACCATTGATCGTTAGTAGTTTTTGTTTTAATTGTTTGTTTTTTTTTATTTTCACTTTGTAAGGAATATAATATAATAATGTTAATTAGTAATATATAAAAATATTATTAAAATGAAACGTCTAAGATATCTGGATATACATTTAAACAGCAAACTAAGACCAAAATATATTGAGTGCATAAATCTAATTCCCTATTAATATATAAAAATTAATTCCCTATTATATATGCTTTCAAGGTATCAATTAGTTATACTTAGAAGTATTGGGGAATCCATAGTATGCTTTTAACTACTGCGTTCGTTACAACCTAAATACATTCATACTAAAGCAGGAAATTCGTAGTAGAAACTCCAATAATAACAGCGGATGAACTTTGCAGTGGTTTTAAACATACATTTGATATAAAATGTAAATATAACTTAATAATAATTAAAATAAAATAGCATAATTAAAAAAATACGCTCATTAATAAAGAAACAGATTGTAAAAAGTACAAAAAAAACCTGCACATATCATGTCTGATATTTCTTATAAATAGTGTAATTAGTCACTTACTATAATGGCTACTCTATAATTGTTAGAAAAAAAATGCATGATTTTTTTTATAACGTTATTAGAGTCTATCCGGACAAATTCAATATCATAAATAAAGCTACATCTACTTAAGTGTTAATGAAATAATATTTAATTAATTGAAAACATGACTTATTATCCATGTTTTTATAAAAAGATATTATAATTAAGTCTCCAATCTTAAATTCCAATATTAAACTAATTGCCAAAAATTAAACTAATTTTATTTCAATAAAAATTAAAAAACAAATTTAAAGTTTAATAAACTAATTTTATAGTATAAGACCATTTTAAAACAAACTCAATAATAACATAATTAATAGAGTAATTACT